GATATAAATTTAACAGACGTTTAAAACTTGTACTCTGAAAACTACAAAACTTTGTTGACAGAAAATGAAGTAAACCTAAATAAATGAAAATCGTCCATATTTAGGGATCAGAGGATAGATTGTTAAGATGGTAATACCTTCCAAATAATGTAAACCTTGAGTACAATTTGTATTGGAATTACATGGATTTTTTGCAGAATTTTCCAAGCTGATCCTAAAAGTTCACATGCTAACTCAAGAGTTGTAGAATAACCAAAATAATCTGGAAAAAGAAGAACAAATGTAGAAAAATCATACTTCTTATATTAAAACTTACTATAAACTTACAATAATCAAGACTATGTGGTACTGGCATGAAGATAGACATAGATCAATGGAATAGAATTGAGAGTCTAGTAATAAACCCTTATATTTATGGTCAATTGATTTTGAACAAGGGTGCCTTGACAAGTAGAGAGAAAATATAGTCTTTTCAATACGTGATCATGGAAAAAAAAAAAAACGCTGCCGTCAAGTCAGGTCTGACTCATAGCAACCCCTCCTTGGGTTTCTGAGGCAGTATCACTACAGAAGTAGCTTGTCCAGCCTTCCTTCCAGGGAGTGGCTAGTGAGTTTGAACCACCAGCCTGCTGGTTAGCAGTCACATGCCTTAGTCATGAGACAACTGGATATCCATGTGCCAAAGGATGAAGTTGGACCCCTTCCTGTAACCATACATAAACATTCACTCATAATGGATCACTCTTAGAAAGGAGAAAATATTTGTAAATTTTATATCTGACAAGGGGCTTTCAGAATACACACACATACATAAGTATAAAGAAATGCATTCATTCATTTCATCAGTATTTATTGAGTAATGCTGAGGATATACCAATGAACAAAATAAGGATTTAATCAAAATGACCTGAGCACTTTCTTAAAAAAGATTGTTCCTAGCAGCACTAATTTCAGTAATAATATACAACTCTGGAGACAACCTCAGTGCTCCAGCAGCAGATAAATTGTGGCATAGTCACATAATAGAATATATGCACCATCAGTTGCCTTCAAGTCTGTTCCAACTCAGAGCGACCTCGTGTGTCTAGCACTGAATTCTGTTCCGTAAGGTTTTCAGTGGCTTTTCTTCTGCGCTGCCTCTGGGGGAGCTCAGAGCAGCCTGTCAGTTAGCAGTGGAATGAGTTCACCAATTGCACCACCCAGCGATTCCAGAATATATGTAGCCATTTAAAATTAAATTCTCATAGAATAGGCAGTTATGTGAGAAAATTATACAATATAATGTGAAATAAAATGTATGAAACACTCTACACTATTGTTAAACCAGTATTTTTTCCTATAGGCAGTAGCGTTGAGTTTTGAGTCTAAAGCTCACCTTCCTAGTGATGACTATTTATTTTTATGTTTTCTGAATCTTTTACAGTAATGTTATCTCTATAATCATAAGAACTATAAGCTTCCATTTCCCTGCATTTCCATTAACACCAAGCAATAGCAGGGAACTGTTGCCAACCTCGCTTTTAAATGCTTGATGTAGTTTGTGTCCTTTTAAATTAAGAAAACAAAATTATGGAGGAAGTCTGATCTTCTGAATAAAACAACATTTTTTTTTTTTTACATGCCAATATGAGTATGGAATTGGATAAAAAAGAAAACTAAAAATTATCAACTCTTTTTTAGGGACTGTCTTTTCTTCTTTGTGACATGTTTTTTTATATTCAGTTTGGTTGGTTTTGTTTCTTTCAGTGTCAAACTGTCAACAGTTTTTATTACATAAAAGTTGTCTTTAGTGAGTACTTATTATGTCCATGCATTTTAATACTTTAGCACATTGAGTTTTTATACCAGATCGTTAGAGCAACTCTCTGAGGAAGGATGATCATCTCTAGTGTAAAAACAAGCCAGTTCCAGCACATTGATGTGTCACACAGCTGATACATAGCAGAATCAGAACCACACTGCAGGACTGTTGACTTCATGGCCCATATACTTGACCACTGCATCTTGTGCCTGCTCTGATTCTCTGAGGTGAAGGAATAAAAGGCCTTGCCCCAGGAGGAGTTTTCAGTCTAATCAGGTAGATCAGGTACACATGCATATGAAATTAAGCAGTATGAGATACAGCCTAAAGCATGTTGTTGCTGTTAGGTGCCATCACGTTTCGACTCATGATGACCCTGTGTACAACAGAAGGAAACTCTGCCCGGCACTGCTCCATCCTCACAATCGTTGCTGGGCTTGAGCCCGTTGTGGCAGCTGCTGTGTCAGTCTGTCTGGTTGAGGGTCTTCCCCTTTTCCTCTGACACTCTATCAAGCATAATACCCTTCTCCAGGGACTGGTCTCTCCTGATAACATAACCAAAGTACGAGATGAAGTCTGGCCATTCTGGCTTCCAAGGACCATTCTGGCTGAACTTCTTCCAAAACAGATTTGTTTGTTCTTCTGGCAGCCCATAGTATGTTCAATATTCTTTGCCAACACCACAATTTAAATGGCATCAGTTCTTAATGCAGTCTTCCTTATTTATTGTCCAGCTTTCACATGTATATGAGGCTATTGAAAATACCATGGCTTCAAAAAAAAAACCAAACTCACTACCATCGAGTTGGATCTGACTCCTAGCTACCCCTCCTTGGGTTTCTGAGGTAGTATCACTACGGAAGTAGATT